TAAGCCCATATTGTTAACTTTACTGCACTGTGAAGCGCCTATCTCGTAAAATATTTAAGTCCACGAGTTTTATTTATATGGTTAACAGGAGAGCTTATTGTATCCGCATCAAGATCAAGGAAATCTTGATAAAAAAATCATCCAGTTCAATATAATCTGGAAGATTGGAAGTATGACCATTTGCATCTCCCGTCAAGATCAAAAATTCATAGCCCACTACATATCGACGCGATATCATTTTGGAATTCAAAAAATTCGTCTGCACTAAAAAATCGAGACTGCTCTGGGGAACGTACATGGCACCTATTACTAAATCTTGGCCTTGGCAATTTAAGTATGTATTAATTTTAATCCAGTATACGTATTCGCAATTCGATTCTAGGATTTGAACATTGTTAACTATTGATTCATGGACAAAAAACCCGATACCTCCAGATTTACGTTTAAATTTTTCTAGGCGCGGTTTAGAGAAAAATGTATAGTGCGGGATATTTATAATATCCATTTTATCAAGTTTTTGTTTCGGTTACGCAAAAAATAGTGAACTGTTTTGATTAAATTTTTAAATTCTGGATAATTCAGTCTTGTTTTCAAACCACATACATTTAGGCTTCCGATTTTCAAATTTTTGTTCGCCAAAAATTTTGCATAATTTTGTTACGAGAACTTACTGTTTCAAAACACAAATTGTCACATTTTTTCTGGCTTACGTAGTTTATCTTTTTCAACGACAGTATCCCCCAGACACTTCATAAGTACTTTGTAAATGCACGCATATTCTCCTGCCTTAGAAGCACAAGGTAAAAGTAAGTCCATTGACCACCCCCCATTGTTCACAGAACGCCACAGTCCCCGTGTGTTCCTAGCTTCCACTTTTTCCGTCGTCGGCAGTGGTGTTTCGATCTTATCTTGTGTCGCTGGTTCGAATCCAGGTTGCTGAAGTGGTTGATGGACTTCTAGCAGATAGCCAGAAGAAGTAAGTGGGATAGCACGTGGTGGAGCAATATCATTGAGGTGCTTGTTTGTGACCCCAGCTGCGTCGTCAGGCGATTGAGTGAATTGTCCGCCTTGTGATTGAGTGCAAACCTCACCTTGCATAGGTTCAGCATCAGAAATGTCCTCAGCAGTGGTAGATAAAACGTGCGGAGGCCTGGATAGAGGCCTCGGCCATATGCTTGAATTTTTCCTGAATACGGTTTTAACATCCGAATTTCTCGATCCCGAAGAATATCATACCATCCCGGAAATAAGTTGCGCACCGTATCACCCTTAATCTCCAGAGCTGCTGGGAATTTCAGTTTAACACACTTGGGGCCGTACTTATTTCTAGCAGCTTTGTATTCCGGCCATAATTCTTGTCGTGCTTCTCGGATCTCCCTTGGGTAGTCCCTCGAGATTCCAAAGTTAGTTCCCTTTAACAGTGATGCATTTTCAAGAATAAGATCGGTGTCAGCAGGATCACTAAACGTAACCAATATTGAACGATGGCGAGGGTTCACGTTGCCGTGTGAACGGTTAACCTGACGTTTTCCGATCCGATAAGCACTTGTAATGTTCATTGTTTTTGTGTCAATTCGGAGTCTCGTTCTGATAAGATCTGTTACTGATCTTAAGCAGTCATCATGGTCGACCTCATGGTGGCCACTGAAATATGAGATTACAGCGCAGTTGACGGGCCTCCATGTCTATACTTTTATACTCGAGCAACCGTAACCGTGACTCTGTTATGTCTTGTGTCGCCGCTGTGTGGTACATATGTCTATTAATACACTCAAGTTTATAGTTTATAGGACCAAATTGTACCATCATATCAAACAAACTATTCATTTTTTCTCCCATGTCAAAAGAAACAAATTCCTCTTTCGAAGGAGGCACAAAAGATTGACCAGGAATGTCAAATAGGTGGGGTGATGCCGACGTGGCACTCGATGAACGTCGTTGACGTTTTCTTGTTTGCTGTACAAAATCTTCGCTCAAAGGGGCAAATTTACCTTGGTATGACATGTTTAAGTCCAAAAGATTGATAGAATCACCAAAAATCCCAAAATTTACTAGTATTTTAAGCGTTATTGACACTTTATTTAGGCTCTTTACGGAGCTGATTCAAAAAACGTCCGCCATTATCGATACCCATAATTCTCTCAAATTCTAAGCAAATCGTATTTTTAAAAAGCTATGATCGGACTAAGATGGAAAAATATAATACTCTGTAATATGAGTTAAATCTAATTATAAATTTTGTACATGTTTATGTTTTATGAGTTTGAATACAGATATATAATTCGACTGCTCTAAAAATTTTCCATAAACATTGTATAATAAATCAGGCAGTAAAATTGGAAATCGGAAAGTTTGTCTCTTTCTTTTATTGAACAGTTAAACTATATATTAACAAATCGCTAACATATGTTATGGGGACTCTTTATTATAATTTTTTTATATTTTAGTATTTATTTAAATGGTTATTGCGAAATAAATCGATGGTTCATTATAATCTTTTATCTTTAACATACATTGTACTTCATTGTACTTCACACGTTACTTAATACAGTAATACACAACATGTCATATCGTACAAGTTACAACATTTCATAATTGAAATTTGTCAGTATAAAGTGTTCCATTTTTTTCCATCATATAAATATATATCAGTCATTCCATAAATTTATGCTGTTTACAGATATGAAATTTAAAATGATTATAAATCGATCAACATAAAATCATGACTTAACAACGTTTTCAATAAGTAGAATATGTAGTTAATAATATATGATAAAGTATCCGGGACATCAAAAAAATGCATACATTTTTGGAACAACTGATATGCAATTTGGTAATAATAATATCAAGGCACCTTGTCTCATATACCGAAATGTTTTCTACGGAAACGTATAGCGACCACCCCTACATGTTAGTTTAAACAGATCTTTTGACAATTTATTTAATATAACATTATATTTTTACCAGCTTAATAGATCTGAAATATTTATAGTATAAAACTATAAAAAAAAGTCTTTCTAAAGTTTCCATGCGCCGATGTATATTAAAGAATTGCGGTTAACGAGTATGTAGTGTCAACTAGCACCTCTATTGTCCGAGCACGTGTATGTTTGCTCTTTATAGAAAAGGTGTTATGATTACATGATAAATGGCAACCGCTACGTCTTTTTAATTTAATCAAATCATAATCATTGGATTTAAATTAAATACTGTGGTAATTTTCTATCAACTATTTTAATAGTGATCTAAATTAGGCGGATAACTTCAAACACAGTTTTGTTTAATCTTGTATTTTGAAATCATTAAGAAACATCAAAGAGATGATACGCTGCTGTGTTATCTGACTAAAGGGAAAATTTAAACATTGAAAATAAGCGATATGAATTCAAAGTTTAAAACTCACTCAAATACCTTTTTTAATAGACTTCTGAAATTCATGCAAATTAGTTAGGGATTATTCTCATCTTTGAAATGAAATCTGATTTGATTTCGGTAATAAAACACATTAATAACAAGGGAAGTAATCATGATATGATATACATAATTATCCGTCTATAACATCATCATTTTTTATAATTAAATATTATTTTCCTTTGTTTATGGTTCAGTTTGAATGATTTTATATTAATTACTAAAACAAGATCTATTAAAATGTTTATTTTAACTTTTACAAGCCGATTTCGGTATGGTAACATATATTTCGGTTCGTGACAAATCAGGGAATTCAAGTAATCTTGATATTTAGATATTTGTTTCTAATTTCATAATTATTAATTATTTCGAACTGATTTTTTGCATGAAAGTCAAACTTAACCTGTTGTAATATATTATAATGGAAAAATAGAATAAAACGCTTAATTGTGTTTTTACAAGTTGATTTCGGTAATGAAAAGTTGATTTCGGTAACTTACCGAAATCAAGTTGATTTCGGTATCGTAACGTACCGTATAGAAACAACCAGCTGGTCAGTATCTAAGTGGTGAACTCCCTTATGTGTTTGTAAGGTATGTTTGCTAGCCTCAATTATTTTAGTTGGGGGTATTTTAACTCTGTGGAAGCGCAGTGAGGTCCTGCGTCCATATTGTTCAAGGTCCGCATTTTGTTCTACGAAGTTAATTCTTCCCTCCGCCTCCAGCAGGTTTTGGTGAATTTTTCTATTTTTCGATTCAAGTTCTGATAAAGACTTAATTTGCTTTCCACATTTTAATGAGAGGGTGACTAAGTCTTTATTTTGTGCATCAAGTTTTTGATTTTGATTTGATGAAAATAACACGATGGTACAATGGTGAAAACGCGATGTCGTGATGGTGCGATAGTGAAATCGCGATGGTACGATGATGAAAATGCGATATAACATTGCGTTTTCAACCAGCTCTACATTGCGATCTTAGCATCGTAACATCGTCTTTTTAACATCGTACAATGGTGTTTTCATCATCATCGTGTCATCGTTCCATCGCGTTTTCACCATCGTACAATTGTGCATCGCTGGAAATGACGGAATAAATATTCACAATTGTCCAAACGAAACACTGTAGTACACATATTCGGTGTGGTAGTTTCGAATTGACCAGAGTCATATTAATAAATTTTGAAATTGAAGTGGCTAATTCAGCTTCTATATATTTAAAGTTGCTATAATTCAAGTTTCAGTTGCCCTCGTATTGTGTTTCAGATATTAGGTAAGATTAATTTTAGTAGTGTTTAACCCTTATATTTTTCGGGATAACCGTCAAATACAAATGTATGCTTCATGAAGCTAGCTCGGAAATCAGCTCTTAATTTCACATATAATAGTTTAAAAAAAGATGGCATAACTTCCTTGTGGACTTTACTTTCAGATCATGCATTGTTTGAGAAGGAAGATACCATGAATCATGTGATTTTAATTATTGATTTTGATATATCTTTTTCTTTCTTTTCAATTATTTTCCGCTATATTTTGTCATTTATTGTCGCGACAAAAACAATGGAAAGCACAGTGCTATGTGTCAGAAACCTTGAAGTTGGACACGTATTATAAATTGTCTGCTTGAGATATATGTATATATTAATTATGAAATGCATTTATTACAGTTATTTGATTACAGACTTGTGCAATAGATTTTGATTGTGACACTGTTATTTGTTTGCAAGAATCCTTGAAAACCGTGTTTGCCCCATCAGGTTGTGGTAGATTCATCTGAAGGTGAGACACTTTATACTATCAGTAAATATAACAAAATATATGTTTGGTTAATCAGATAAGTAGACATTAAAAATTACCGTTTTCCATTAAATAAATCTACTTCCTATTGGATAGCATGAAAATTCTCAACAAATTATCTAATATAGTATGTGAATTAGATTACGTTACCAGCTTTTTGTTTTCGTAAAACACAAGATTAATCAAAATTCCATCGTGACAAACTGTAAGTAACAATAGGGCACTATTTATTTAGTATACAATGTGTTTGGGTTTTTTTAATGGCATTGATGCAAAGGAGTTTTGTTATGTACAAATTTGGTTGTAATATCGCAGTGTTGCTTGATTTACAACAAAAATCTTTTTAAATTGGCCAGCTTTAAACTACGGTATTTCTAAAACATATTGTCGAAGAGTATTAATCTATACATTATCTTTAGAAAAATGGAGGTGTCTGGAAAGGTAGCTTTGACATCAAAGACGAATCTTAATCTGTACTGTAATCCGTGTGATACAGATGGCTTAAAGAAGCTGGCTCACGGATTTTGCCAGGACTGCAATGAACATCTTTGCAAAAATTGCTTTCAACATCATAGAAGGTCAAGACCATCCAGAAAGCATGTACTGCTTAATAAATACGACATGGCACTACATCAAACGACCGTTGACGTAAACGCAGACATAATTACTGACAACTGTAGCAACCATAAGGATAAACTACTGGAGTTCTATTGTAACAATCACAAAACTGTATCATGCAAAGTTTGTGTGACACATGAACACAAACGATGTATAGTTGACTTTATTCCTGAGGGTTTAGGAAACGTATCTAGCGAGTTGATAAATTTTAACAAAAAGATGGAAGTGTTAGTCAAGAAATGTGAAAATAACATTATAAAGGCTGTAGCTGCCTCAAAACGACTGGACCAAAGTAAAAGAAAAGTTAATGAAGACATTAGTCTCTTCAGGAAAGAAATAAATGCATATTTGGATCAGATGGAATCGATGATGATAAAAGAAACTGAAGCTATTATTAACGCAGCAAACTATAAACTCGAGAATATCAAAGCTGCTTGCGAAAAATTAGCCGAGGAAGTGAAGCGTTCACAGTCATTTCTAAATGACCTGAATAAAACAAACGAGCAGAATAAGCTTTTCATTGAAATGAAAAATGTCGGACCTCGTTTGATGACACTTGAAAGTGAAGAAATACAGATTGTCAAAGATATTATGGCATATGACGACATTCAATTTGACCGGAACCAAAAGCTACTTGATCAACTGAAAAATAAGAAAAACTTTGGGACAATTCTAACATATGGAAAACCATTAGCAGATACTGAAATATGTATGAGATATAAAAGATCTCTCAACGTGAAATTCCCCTCTGATGAAAACCAAAGTGATGTGTTTGGGGCTGTTACGATTTCTGCTACACATATGATCCTCGCTGATTATGGCAATAAGAAAATTAAAACAGTTAATATAGCCACAGGAACACAGGTGTCAGAGGAAACCCTGTCTTCTGCACCATTCGATGTTATAAGACTTCCCCAAATAAACTTGCTGTTGCATTACTTAAAGAAAAATGTATCCAGATCATGTCTTATACAGATACAAGTTTGTCTTCAGATCGTCGTATAGATGTCGGTGAAAAGTGTGTTTGTTTAGCTTATTGTCAGGACAAGCTAGTAGTAGGCTGTAATTATACTCCAGGAAAGCTTGTTATTCTAGATTTAGAGGGAAATATCATACAGAGTTTTTGTACTCCTGGATTGTTTTGATGGGCCTAAAAAGATTGTTATCAGCAGAGATGAGAAGTTCATGTATGTATCTGATTACTGCTTCTTGGAAGGTTATGGCAAGTGCATGAGATAGACTGGCAAGGAAATGTTGTACAAAGCTTTGCGGATGAAGGATATGTTGGTCCTAATGGCTTACAGGAGCTCGAAGATGGTACTTTGTTAGTTTGCTTCTACTCCAGTCACAAAATTGTCAGATTGTCAGACAGCTTCAAGAAATGTGAGATATTAGGATTGGAGAAGATAAACCTTTGTTATCCAAAGGCTGTAACATACAGTGAAAGGAGTCACAAATTATATGTTTAGTTGTTCTTCTGAGCAAGGGCGTGGTTCAAATGATACAATAAAAGTATTCAATGTGAGATAGATCATTTGTATCTTTTGAATGCGAATATTAGCTACAATGTGACACATTGTATGTGATCAGTGATAGTGACACATTAAATTATTGGGACATACTAAACACACATCTTGTATAATTATGGATATTCAGATCAATATTTCGTTAAAAATAATTCAATTCCATGACAAAAAAGAATTAAGAATACATGTATTTCAAAATATGTGGGCAGACAAGTATTTGATTTGTAATAATTACTTTAATAATTCACGGTGACTTCGGTGATTTTGAAAATAATTTTACAATTTTGCATGTCACATAGTTTGATATCAGCTTAATATGAAAAATGTTGACAATAGATATTTATTATGTTTCAGAATTGTTACATTCAAAATGCCTACATTTTTTTCAAACAAAACCTAATTATTTGTGTTGTGGTAGTAAATGACATGCTATTGTTGTGTTGTCTTTACAAATTACAACTGTATATAAAGCTCATGTTTGTAACTGAGATGAATAAAATTTGATTGGCTTGATCTTGTTTATCATATTTGATACGATTAGATTTGAGATAGCATGGTTTACAAGGTCAAATAATACATAAACACGTAAATAAAGTCATAGTTAAATAATCAATAATTGAAATAGAGTTTTACAAAGATTTAATTATTTTAACGATTATAGATTCAGTGTAGGAATATTTTGGCAAACACCTATGAGTGGTTTGCGTTGAACCCCTTTTCAAAATAACGGTTCGTGGAATGGATAAGTAACACATTTTTAAGTTTACGACATAAGATAGGACAGTTACTTGAAACGGTCTTAAGTACAAAAACTTTTTCTCCTACAGTTGGTCGTAAGTCCTAGTATTTAGGATTAACTTAGGACTCTCCATGAAACGCAGTCCAGAACTTTATACATTGCATTTTGATTTGATTTTCTATGTTGATTACGAATATTGTTTTATATTTGAAAAGATAAAGATCGTTTTATTATTTAAATATATTTTACCGTTTACAGCATTATTTAAAACTAAAGTTTGGCAAGAGGCTAAAGAGCAAGCAAAGTTATCTTCTCTTGGACTGTTCTCAGAGCTTAAGGAAGTGTGTTTACGAGGAAAAGAAATATTAACAAACAAGAATTATGCTTTCAAACATTTTAGTGAGTGGTGTGTGTTTAAGGCAAATTCAACGGATAGTATGATATTTTGATTTGCAATGGACTTAATGCATAGGCTTTATGCTCTTATCGAGAGAAACTTGTTATTTAATCAGATCTATGCTGCAGAATTAGAATTTTCAGGTTTGCAAATCAGGTTAACATGATGTACTTGGATTCTATTGGATTTACGCAGATGCCTGCCTGTTATTATTCGCAGCTGTTTTCAAATAAGTATTTTCAAATTTTATTTCTTACGAATTTTCAAAATATTAATTCATTTTAATTCTTTCTTTGTTTTTTCGAAATATGCTATCAATAATAAGCCATATTCCTATTTGTGTTTTGTTTTAAATTATATATTCAGTGTAGGTCTTATCACTGTTAAGGATATTTACAGTTTGACGACTTTGATAAGGAAATAATTGTATTACTCGCGTTTAAATATAATTATTTCCGTTTCAAAGTCTGCTTATGTTTATTCGTATGCTCGTTTTTCTCGTGCTGAGTATAAAAGCACAACTCGGCGTGTTTTAGGCCATTCGAGGCTTTCCATTGGTAGCGAAACATATCATTCTAGTATTTCCCTCCCGACCACCCAATTTATTACAATTAGAACAGCTTATAACTGGTAAGTTTTGTTATATATAGATTGGATTTGTTAAAGTTTTAATAATAATTTTTTCGTTTCAGTTTTCCTTCTTCTGATGCTTTCTGAGAGATAGATGTGGCTTTCGTCATTTTCTGGTTCTTCGATGTTCTTCATTTTTAGTGCATATAGAAGTGATTTTCCACTTCGACGAATGCTTTATTTCATGAAAGCGACGACGTATTACCGACGTCAGGCGATATATTAGCACAAACATCTTGATTTTGAAATGAATTGTCGATATATGCTATCAATAATAAGCCATATTCCTATTTGTGTCTTTTTTTATTTGTTTAAATTATATATTCAGTGTAAAGAATTTATTAGGTCTTTAACACTGTTTTACAGTTTGACGAATTTGATAAGGAAATAATTGTTTTACTCGCGTTTTAAGGGAGTAAACATGTTTTATTTCTTTTAATGTAGCCGATCAATGTTTTGGAATGAACTGAGTAAAAATGTTTCGAAAGTGAATATTTTACTCGAAAATATTCTATCACTAACATTTTGTATGATTATTGCATTCAAGAAAGAAATGTTTTACAGTGAAATGTTTATTGCAAGCTATACATTGTGAAGCATATAATACCAGATATATTACTTAAAGTAAAGTTTGTAACTTTAAAACAACAAAAATTTATGTGTTTTCGGGAATTGATTTCTAGACAAATATTAATTTTGTCCATATTGTAATCAACTGTTCTTTGGGGTTTTTTAATATCACAAATTATACGTCTCAAGAATACAATAAAGCAGAACCTTTTCAAAAAAAGTATTAAAAAGCAGCAGTGTGATTAAAAATGTATACTATTGAAATGTGCAACAAATTTGTGAACAATCAATGACATTGTAAATGTTATCTTGTTATCCTAAAAATGAAAGCAATATTACTTAAAATGTACCTTTCACATAACCTTAAATATTAAAACACCCAGTCGAAACTTTTGGCAAAAATGTGTATATTATTCTGAAACTGAAACTGAATCAAAACATATGTAGAATCCCTGAGGTACTAAAAGTACAATGAACTTCGCTTGTTCGCAACATAACATCTTGTGACATTTAGTTCTTACTATTAAACAAATAAGACAATATTAAAGTAAAGAAATACTTTTGTCTGGAAATTATATAATAAGATGAATTACTTAAATAGCTTGATGGTGTAATGAACAAAAAACCTCTAAGCGATAAGATGGCTTAATTCTGTTTAATAAATCACCATAAGCATCATGCCTAAAGACAGATTACAAAAAGAACCATGTGAACTAGTTAGTGAATAGCAAAGCTATATACATTAAATATCGATCTTGGAAACATTAAAATATCGATCTCGGAGCAAACATTTATTTCCTAACGGAAACTTGTAAAACTATAGTGTGGGAATTACCATTTTTTAAAATGACTCAAATACTTTTTTTTTTTTTTTATTT